ATTTTGTTTAAAAGACACTGGATTATTTGTAATAGTCACAATGTTGACTATTGGATATTGGCTTTATTTTTTTCTTCAAATTTTTCTATAATAGTTTATTTTATTGTTTAATAATAGCTTTAAATTATAATATTCTTTGTTTAATATCTTTTTATTGATTTCAGAGAGGAAGGGAGGAGAAGGAGAGAGAGATAGAAACATCAATGATGAGAATCATTGATTAGCTGCCTCCTGCACACCCCCTACTGGGGATCAAGACTGCAACCGGGCATGTGCCCTTGACCCGAATGGAACCTGGGACCCTTCAGTCCACTGAGCAAACCAGCTAGGGCTATAATATTTTTAAATGTGTCTGCAATCAGTGTAGAAGTACATATAATAAAAAGTTAACACTTCTCACCCTAGAGTTAACCATTATTAACAGTGCAGCATACACCCTTTCACACTTTTTCTACCCATGTACAAATATCACATTCTGAAATACTCTATGCATGTATTACCTGTGACCTTTTAATTTATAAATGTTGGAGATATTTCTTTGTCAGGGAAGATAGCTCTACTTCATTTTTCCTTTAATTAATTAAATGTTCCATAACTTTATTTAAACCAACTTCCGATGGTCATTGTTATTTTCAATTTTTCCACTAATAAAAACAATGCTTACAAGTGACCATACTTACATATTTTTGTGCATGTGTACTTCTATAAGATAGATGCCTACATTGCTGCTCAGAGAGACATTCTCATTTATTTTTATTTTGGGCAGTTTTATAATTTTATTCGACAATTAGCAGTTAGTTCTCATCCACATTAACTGTTTCTAGGTTTTTGAAAGCAGGGACAAGTATGTAGTTGACCAACATATAGAGCTTGTTTGGTGAAGCTTCATCCTTATTGTGTTCTGGACAACAGCACCGGATATAGTATGGGGCATTCCTTATTCCTTTGGCCCAGACAGCTTAGTTGAGCCTGGTGTCAATGCACATATCTGGAGCTCCCATCTCCTTCATGGCAAATTTCCAGATCTCTCTGAGTGCTTGAGGGGTGCAGTCTTTGAAACCCACTCCATGGATGTGCCTGTGAAGGTTGATGGTGTATTCTCTGGTCACTGTCTCATTGATGGCAGAATGTCCCTTGTTCTTCTCACCACCCTTCTCTGTGGGAGTCATTATTGCCAGGGCCAAGTTGGAAAGCTCTCATTTTTAATTTTAGTAAATATCAAAATGCCCTCCAATGGGTTATATTAATTTTATTGCACCTTTCATAATTTAAAATAATGTTAAGCTCAGAAAAAAATTCCAATCAATTAAAAATGAAAACCAGACATTCATAAAAGGAGTATAATTCACATATTATATTATGGCATCCCCAAATGTAATATGACCATGATTCCTAAGTCAGCCAGCATCTGGAACAGCGCTTGTCATAAGGGCTTCAGTGAAAGCTGCTGAACCAGGAAGGAGCCCTGGGCGGACCTTTCTTAAACTTGCTTGGGAAAATTAGATTCCAAGGATCTCTGTTGCCATCTGGTGGCAACTCCCCATTGGTGAAACCTCCTATGACACAATTTCCAAGAAGTCATTCATTCTAGTTAATTACTTCCTGTACATTATTCTGTATGAGGCATTATTTCATCATTCATGGTTATTAAATGCATTTTAAAAATTATTTTTAAAAACCATGTTACTGCCCTAGCTGGTTTGGCTTAGTGGATAGAGCGTCGGCCTGAGGACTGAGAGATCCCGGGTCCGATTCCGGTCAAGGGCATGTACCTTGTTTCGGGCAACATCCCCAGTCGGGGGCGTGCAGGAGGCAGCTGAATTGATGTTCCTCTCTCGTCGATGTTTCTAACTCTCTATCCCTCTCCCTTCCTCTCTGTAAAAAAATCAATAAAATACATTTTTAAAAAAAACCATGTTACTTCTAAATCATTTCCATTTCTTGAAACTATTAGCTGACAGTGAAAGTAATTAACAAAAATATCCAACCTACATTTTTTTAAAAGACTCTTGTATAGAGGGGATCTCTTCTGTTAATCTTTTACTTCTACAGGAAGAAAGACATAAAATTGTATTTTCCTATTATTTTTCCCTTTCACTATTTTATTTTCTAAAAAAAAAAGTTTAAATGAGTCATAGAAACAGTTATTTGCACCCCCAAAACATCAGACACTGCTGGTGTCCTGCTCATATCCTCTGAGCACTTATTTCTGAGTATGCAGACCCAAATTCCAGCAGCTAGCCCCTCTGAGCCTCAGCGCTCTCTTGGCCAATGTAGGACAGGCTGAAAGTGCCAGGGGAATAATGCACTGCCCTGAACTGAAAGCAACACTCAACCAGTGGCAGATGAGAGCTGGCGTATAAATAGTTACAGGTTGAATTGTATCCCCAAATATGTATATGTTGAAATACTAACCCCCAGCACTTCAGAATGTGGCTTTATTTGGAAACAAGGTCTTTTCCAGGGGTAATCAAATCAAAATGAGGTCATAAGGGTGGGCTCTCGTTCAGTACGGCTGGTGTCCTTATAAAAAGGGGGGGTGGGGATTGGGACACCGAGACACACACAGAGGGAAGACAGCCATCTACCAGGCAAGGATGCCTAGAGCAGATCCCTCCCTCACAGCCCGCAGAAGAAGCCAGCCCTGCCGACACTTTGATTTTTGGAATTCACAACTGTGAGGCAATAAACGTCTATCATTTAAGCCACCTAATTTGTGGTACAGCAGCTTTAGCAAACTAAATACCCGGCTCCCTCACCTGCCCGGTGAGAGAACTGAGGCATGTGTTCTGTGCTATTTCCCAGAGTCCCCAGGGGGGGGAGTCAGCTCATTTCCCACAGTGGCAACTATTTTTTCACTTCTCTTTCCTTTTGACTTCCCATTTTTAACACTGGTGTTCGCTGGACTCACTTCCTAGATAAGCAACTTGATCTCAAGTCCTTGTCTCTAGGCCTCCTTCTGGGATAACCCAAACTAAGACAGTTAGTATTAGAAATGGAGCTCAGATGTCAGGATCAGATACTGGAATTAGATTCATTCCCAGTAAGACGGTAACAAGGGTCTCACTGTTTATGGAAGTAGAGTGGTAAGAAACTCTAATCTAAAGCATCACAATTAGTCCTGACCGGTTTGGCTCAGTGGATAGAGCGTCAGTCTTCGGACTGAAGGGTCCCAGGTTTGATTCCGGTCAAGGGCATGTACCTTGGTTGCACAACCCCAGTAGGGAGTGTGCAGGAAGCAGCTGAATCGATGTTTCTCTCTCATCCATGTTTCTAACTCTCTATCACACTCTTTCTCCCTTCCTCTCTGTAAAAAAATCAATAAAATATACTTTTAAAAAAATAAAGCATCACAATTATTATTCATCTATGGTGAATCAGGGTAGGATTCAGGGGAAGGGCATCTACCATATAGAAGCACACATGCACAAAAATATGTAAGTATGGTCACTTGTAAGCATTGTTTTTATTAGTGGAAAAATTGAAAATAACAATGACCATCGGAAGTTGGTTTAAATAAAGTTATGGAACATTTAATTAAAGGAAAAATGAAGTAGAGCTATCTGTCCTTACAAGGAAATATCTCCAAGATTTATAAATGAAAAGGTCACCAGTGCCCTAACTGGTTTGGCTCAGTGGATAGAGCATCGGTCTGCAGACTGAAAGGTCCCAGGTTCGATTCCAGTCAAGGGCATGTACTTTGGTTGTGGGCACATCCCCAATAGGAGGCGTGCAGGAGGCAGCTGATCAATGTTTCTCTCCCATTGATGTTTCTAACTCTCTATTCCTCTCCCTTCCTCTCTGTAAAAAATCAATAAAATATATTTTTTAAAAAAGGTCACCAGTAATATATGCATCGACATTGACTATTTATATCATAAAAGGCCTGTGGTTGTGATGCTGTAATGGTGGAACAACCAAACAACCGGTCACTAGAAGGTGCATGGAGCACCTCTCGTGGGGCCAGGACTTGCAGCTTGCATGGCGAGGTGGGGCTCATGTGGGGCTGGCAGGACTGGCGTGGCAGAGATGGGGCTTGTGGTTCGCACGGTAGAGGCGGGGCCCGTGGCTCGTGCAGGGCGGGTCTGGGGTCTCACAGCTCGCACAGGGCGGGTCTGGGTCTTGCGCGATTTCACGCGCTGGGCCTCTAGTTTCAGATATTTGTACATGGGTAGAAAACGTGTGAAAGGATGTACACTGCACTGTTAATAATGGTTAACTCTAGGGTGAGGAGTGTTAACTTTTTATTATATATACTTCCACACTGTTTGCAGACACATTTAAGATACCAACAGTCAGCCCAACCCACGTGGCTCTCTCTGTGAGCATCGAACTATGAACCAGGAGGTCACAGTTCAATTCCCAGTCAGGGCACATGCCCGGGTTGCGGGCTGAATCCCCAGTGTGGGGCATGCAGGAAGCAGCCAATCAATGATTCTTTCTCATCATTGATGTTTCTATCTCTCTCTCCCTCTCCCTTCCTCTCTGAAATCAATAAAAATATATTTTTTAGAAAAAGATACCAACAGTCAGCAGAGTAGCTCATAGTTACTAAATTTAACATATATTTGGCTTTGTTCCCTTTACACTCTTTATTTCTCTCTCCACTGGCATGTTCTCTTCTAGGTCACTATTCTCTCATATTTACTAATATGTGTCACAGTCTCAGGATGCAGCTGGAAAAAGGAGAGAAAGGGTCGCTGCTCTCATAGAGGTTAAGGTCTAGGAGGGAAGCCCAACCTTGAACAACTGATTTCAAGAGTGAATCATGTAATAACAAGAAAAATGTGGGAAGAAGGGAGGGTACAGCAGTGGGGTCCCTGAGAAAGTGGCCTTGAGGCTGGCACCTGAAGGATTAGTAGGAAGTGGCATGGCACCAGTCTCCACTTGGGCTCCCTCAACGGCAGTTTGTCCGTCTGTAGTCTAACCAGAGCAAGTGTGGCAAAGGGTCAAATAGCACTTGGGAGAGAGATATGATTAAAACAAAAGTGCAAAGTAAGTCCCAAATCACCAAGAACCTTTATTTCACTTACATCAAACTGAAAGAGCAATTAAAATAAAAATACTGCCAATTCATAAAACTCTTTTACATCAATCACACTTACGAATAGAAAAGTGAAATCCCTGAGGAGTTGCCCACAATAAATAAAGCACTTAGGATGTGCTGAGTTCAAAGGAAAATGTCCTGAGACCGTTCAATTTGGGGAAGTCGATGGCCCTTTGCAAACTTCAATTTCTCAAAAGGATATCCAACTGCTGCAAGCTTCCTGTCATGACAAGAAGCTGCCACCTTCAATAGCACCTTACATGGAAAGAGGGAAAAGAATCCGGCTTCTTCTATCAACTTGCCCATAGCCCTGGGAAAGCTACTGCACAGCGCAGGGGAGGACAACATTTGCCTTGTGGGAATGGAATTTTACGACATACTGAATAAGTACCGGTGCTATTTTAACTTGTCATGAACTAAAATGAACCGCTTTCTCAGTGCGCGAGTGTTGTACAAAGGGAACATAATCTCCCTGTTGTTTGTGGGGGACAGAAGAAGACCCGGGGTTTTTGTGAAAGGGTAAGGTTGATGCTTTAAAGAAGACCCGGGACTGAGGGCTGGCTTTGTAACTCTACATTTCTCTTCAGTTGATAGTCAAAATATCACATTTCATTGATTCTAGGATATACTTTTTTCTTTACACACTTTAGCATCTCAAATTCAAATGGGCTTGGCCAATTAACTATCACAAGTTAACTGTCAACTCTCTCCCACCCTTCTTTCTTAGTGGTATATATGATAGTATATTTTATACTAGATGCTTCTCCATTCGATTAAATATGGTGCTGTGTAGTTCAGGAGACACAGTAAGTCACATAAAAATAAATCTGACATTTAAACCCTGGTAATTCTCCCAACTGAGAAGATGCCAGCAAAAACATTTGGCGTCTTACATTTCAACATGAGCATCAGCGCCTCAGGAAGGGTTAGAAGAACACTGATGTGGGCTGAGCTCGCACTCTAGTTCTGATTCTGTCCAGAACCAGCTGGGACAACAGTAAGGAAATTGATTTCACACTTTTGGGTCTCAGTTCCTCATCTGTAAAATGAGAAAGTATGATCAGAGTCTTCCAGCCAAAAAGGAAGGCGATTTTAAATCTTGCACCTTTGAGAGTGTGTCACTGTGGAAATGCCATAGCACACTGCCCCAAAGCCCTAGGAGCTTCTTGTGCAGGCTGATGCTCAGACACCTCTCCAGCCATCCCTGTTCCCCATCCCCCAAGAGTCAAGGCTCCAGATCCAGAGACTGTTCTGGATCAAGCAAGAAATGCAATTCATCCACAATTTTAGTAACTGATTGGGGAAGGATTCATTCTTGAGTCTAGGCCAGTTTGTCAACTTCTTTTAGAAACTGCAGAACTCTACTAGCTAAGTTAAACTAAATGTTTACCATGAATTTAAAATATCAAAGAATTACAGCAGGGTTCACTTCAAAGTCCTCATGATTGACATAATTTCTACGGATTCGGCTTCTCTGAGTGCCTCCTTCTGTGCCAGAGAAGCACCAGCCAGAAAAAGCTGTTTTCTGAAAGAAAATAACAAAGAAATGTCATTTGAATTAAACATTCACCTCAGCACCCTGCTCCTACCTTGAGATTTTACTCAACATGAATAAAGGAAAACAAATGGTAAGAAATGGGTATTCCAAATGAAAAATGAGATATGATAATAGCATCCATCAGTTTATGGTAAACTAGAGGCCCAGAGCACAATATTCATGCACTGAAGGGGGGAGGTGCCCTCAGGGGGTTTCTGACTGATGGCTTAGGCCCGATCCCCCTGAGGAGCGGGCCTAAGTCACAGTCAGACATCCTTAGCGCTGCCACAGAGGCGGCCTCCTGCCACTACTGCTGCACTTGCCAGCCGTCAGCCCAGCTTGTGGCTGAGCAACGCTTCCCCTGTGGGAGTGCACTAACCACCAGGGGGCAGCTCCTGCATTGAGCATCTGCCCCCTGCTAACCAGTGCACGTCATAGCGACCAGTCGTTCTGCTGTTCGGTCAATTTGCATATTACCCTTTTATTATATAGGATAATACATGTATTTATATTTTTGATAAACATTTTTTTAATTCAAAAGTTACCATCTGTCTTGGGGATGTAAAGTACAGCATAGAGAATATAGTCAACAATATTGTAATAACTATGTACAGTGTCAGGTGGGTACTTGAAATATCGGGGGGATCACTATGTAAAGTATATGACTGTCCAACCACTATGCTGTGCACAAAACCAGGAAGGGGGCAGAGAGATTGTTCCACTTCCATTCCTGCATCCTACCTGCCTCTCCTCTCATTCCCAGGAACACACTAAGATCAGAAATATGCAAAAGAAATACAAGGAAGAGTATTTGAAGCTGTCAGTGTTAATTGTATATTTTGGGGATGAGCAATAAATCTGTGTTGGCCAAATAAAAATAAATAAATAAAAGGACAAACTATGCAAGAGGGTCAATTCTTTTTCTAATATGTTTTTGTTGATTTTAGAGAAAGAGGAAGGGGGAGGGAGAGAAAGAGGAAGGAACGGAGGGAGAAACATCCATTGGCTGCCTCGTACTGGAGATCAAGCCCACAATCAGAGCATGTGCCCTGACTGGGAATCGAACTGGTAACCTTTTGGTGCATGGGATGATGCTCAACTAACTGAGCCACACTGGCCAGGGAAAGAGGATCAATTCTTTAAAAACAGTTTTTAGCCCTAACCGGTTTGGCTCAGTGCATAGAGCATCGGCCTGCGGACTCAAGGGTCCCAGGTTCGATTCTGGTCAAGGGCATGTACCTTGGTTGCGGGCACATCCCCAGTGGGGAGTGTGCGGAGGCAGCTGATTGATGTTTCTCTCTCATCGATGTTTCTAACTCTCTATCCCTCTCCCTTCCTCTCTGTAAAAAATCAATAAAATATATTTAAAAAAAATAAAAAATAAATGATAAAATAAAAACAGTTTTTAATTAAAGAAGTAATAAATTTTCATTGCAGACAAATTAAAACACCTGGTCAAATAAAAAGAGACTATTACCTGTTTGGGAACATATCCTTTCAGACCTTTTCTTTGCTCATATACATATATATATATATCGTCATACCCCAAGATATGGCTGATTGGGTTAAAACCGTGGTCGGCAAACTGCGGCTCGGGAGCCACATGCGGCTTCTTTGGCCCCTTGAGTGTGGCTCTTCCACAAAATACCACGTGTGGGTGCGCACGTACAGTGCAATTGAAACTTCATGGCCCATGCGCAGAAGTCGGTATTTTGTGGAGGAGCCACACTCAAGGGGCCAAAGAGTCGCATGTGGCTCGTGAGCCGCAGTTTGCTGAGCTGCAGTTTGCCAACCACTGGGTTAAAAGAATTATACTTTATGAGGAATTTCATCTAATATTGCTATTTTGGCTTCGAAGGCATTTCGAAACATTTGTGAAGACTGACAGTGACTTGGGGCATGTTGCAAGCACTTGAATGCCAAAGAATATGAGTCATCTTTGCAGCAACGGTTGACTTAGTAGTCCTGTTCTAGGAATCCTTGTGGTTTGCTGGTTCAGAGCAGTAGTAATCTGGTGCAGGATGACCCCTATGATGCCCTTATGTGTTTGGTGAGTGTACTAATATTTGCCTTATTTCTATTGATTTCTTTTTACATGACTTTTCCCCTTTGGGGAATGAAAAGGTGAAGATCATGTGTGATTTGCTTGTGAGCATTGCTTTTAATGTAGGTGAATAATAGCCACAAAAGAGCTTAATGAGAGCAAGATAAAGGGTTGTAGAATAATGAATGAAGGGAAACTACCCTCATTCAAATAGGTATGGAGTGGTCTCCAGTCCCCTTTCAGTGGTGGGATCCAAAGAAGTCACCCTGCAGGAACACCACACCCACCAGCATGCCTGGCGCAAGAACTTGCTTGCGTGCAGTGGTGTTACAAAGAAGCATCAGCCCTGGCCAGTTTGGCTCAGCAGGTCATGGAGTCAGCCCAGGAACCAAAAGGTCATGGGGTCAATTCCCACCAAAGGCATGTACCAAGGGCATGGTCCAAAGGCAGGTGTGGGAGGCAAACCAATCAATGTTTCTCTCTCTGTGTCCTCCTCCACACCTTCTCCTCTCCCTCCCTTCCCCTCTCTCTAAAAAATCAATGGAAAAAAGGTATCCTCTGGTGAGGATTAAAAACAAAAACAGCATCAAAGGCTTCAAAAACACTATCACCAGTCTAAATGTAACTTGATGACGTAAAAATTAATGGCTCTTACCATTGATGTTACTGGTAGATCAAACTGTAGTCATCAACCGAAGAATAATCTGGGTGATCTGCAAAGAGCAGCACACAAAGCAACATGAAGCCAACATTTTTTTTCATAGGATCTTAGCCCTTTCAAATCAAGGCACTTGACTCAAAGATTCTAGTGACTGCCCTTTTGTAAGAAGGCAACAAAGCATACAAATGGTAGTTATGACTACAAACCAGAGAATATTCTGGAAATTCCTATTACTATTATTTTTTTGTCCTTTTTCACCCACGTCTAGCTAGCTGCCCCTACAGTAAAGTCATCTTTAAATGTGGACAAAAATAAGTCCCACATTATCATGTAATTATAAGACAATAAGAAATAAAATAATGTAGATCCTTATGTTCTTCAAAGATATAATTTCAGCCATTAATTTTTTCCCCCAGATACTAAATTTTTGCTAAGCTGTTCCATGCAGCAATAGCTGTCTCTCCCCTCATTCCCTTGAACATAGTTAGGTATATCTTTCTTTTATTCAAAAATAGATATTTGTTCTGTACCTATTATATGCCCAGTACTGTGTTAGGTATTGTGAGTGGTACAGGAAAAAGAAAAGTGCCTACCCTCAAGGATCTCCTCATTATCCAAAGAATATAACTAACAAAAAATGCTAAAATGCATGTTTCTCCCAGAGATATGGTAACAGTTTGGGGGGGCGGGAGGGGGGGAAGACCAGTGACTAGTGAAAAATCCAATCATGGGCAATGCATAAAACATACAATATTAAGTTAATGGTTTTAGATAGCTATGCCTTCTGTAAATTATATTTCTGTATAATCCAAAGGAAACTCAGCTCTTCCATTCTCATTGTCCAAGATAAAATAATCTCTTAAGTAATACTGCCTTCTAAGAAGTTCCTTTTGGCACTCCAGGAGCTAAATTCTCTTGGATAGCTATAAAATAGACACCAATTACCAAATTCCACTGTGTGACACATAGCATTATAGTAAGATTCTAATATAGACTTACTGTTTCAGAAATTTGATTCTAATTATTCCCTTCTTTCCCTTCATTTCACAATTCTAGCTACTCAACCTTAAAGAAACCCTGACAAGCATTTCCAAAGGTCTTTCTTGCTGGCCTACCTGGTAAACTCCTAGGAATTGGGAGAGGTCCTCTCCTGTAAGAAATGAAAACCAAAGTCTTTCAGAGAAGTTATTGTTTTCCTAGTTTTTTACATCACACAACAAGCATTTTGCACTCTCCTCAGATCTGGCTTCTGCTTTAGAGGGTCAAGAAAAGTTCTGATGAAGCCAAAGGCCTGCAGCACTGACTACTGGAATGCAAGATGCAGACATTGTGCTCTGCTGAGAGCGAGATGCACCGTGGTCAGACGCACAGGGCCCTGCCCCCGCAACCAGACTGGCAGGAGGAACTTCTCAACTGTGCGGGCAAGACTTCCTGATCTTGTACACTGGCATCTTCGCGTGTGAAATGGGAAGTGCAAACAGCTCCTACCTTACTGTGAGGCTTAGAAGAGCTAATTCCTATGAACTGTTTTGAATAATGATGATGATCATGCCATCTTCCCCTCCCCCCGCAAAAAAAAACAACCCATCCCATTATCTTTTTAAAAACTGGATTGAAAATTCAACAACTTAGACTTCAAGGTGACTGTATAGTATATAAAACAAAAGTTCCTCTTCTCTCAGGATGTTTTATGTCAGGGGCAGCAAACTTTTCTGTCAAGAGCCAGATGTTAGTAAGTGATTTAGGCTTTGCTGGCTACAGTCACTTCTCCTGCAACTCTAGTCAACTCTAGTGGGAAAGCAGCTCTAGACAGAATGTAAACAAATGAGTGTGGTCATGTTATAATACAACTTTATATAGCCTTAGCCGGCGTGGCTCAGTTGGTTGGATGCCATCTCATGCACCAGAGGTCACCGGTTCAATTCCCGGTCAGGGCACATACCTGGGTTGCAAGCTTGATCCCCAGTAGGGGCTTGGTTGCATGCAGGAGGCAGCTGATCGATGTTTGTCTCTCCCTCTCCCTTCCTCTGTCTCTAAAATCAATAAATGCATATTTTATAAAAACTTTATATACTTAAGGGGGAGAGGTGGAGGTGGAAGAGGGGAAAGGGGTATAAATGGTGATGGAAAAAGTAAAAGAAAAAAACGTTATAGACAAACACAGAAATTTGAATTTCATATAATTTTCACATCACAAGATAGTATTCTTTCCATTTTTTTTCAACCATAAAATACTCACAGGCACTACCAAAACAGGCAGGTCAGATTTGACTCACAGAGGGCCAGAGTTTGCTGATTCCTACTCTCTGCAGGCTATGAGAAAGGTATAGGACTCATGCATGAATAATAAAATTTACACTCGGGCATGATACTGTCCTCCTTGAGCTATGACTGGAGAAATCCATTTCACATTTGCCCTAAAATTGCTATTTCCAAAAATCTAGCAAATGCAATGGTAGCTGTGTTTCCATGCTAATGTCTTAGAACACTAATGACAAAAAAATGTTTATTAAAAGTATTTTTCTTCATGTGAAAGGAAGCTGGTCATTACCTTGCTAAGTTCGGCCCCGTAGCCTTTCCTGGTGGGGCTGCATTCTTCTGGGGGCAGTAGTAATTCTCATACATGATGGGTGCTAGAGGCATCAAGAAACAAAACATGAAGAGGCAGGCATCTTCCACTGTCAACAACATATAACAAGAGAGACTGACAGAATTGCTGAAATGAAGCCCCGCCCCCGCTGCTCCATTCACCTGGGGGCATCTGTCCAGTTTTTCGTTGATTCACAAAGTACTCAATGTCCTTCTCGATGCTGCACATCTCTAAACTCTTACGGACTTCTTCATACATCTAACAAAAAGATACATCAAGGAAGAGGGATTCCATAAAACTTGTGATGTGGCTTATTAAAACAGGGGCTTTGATATATGGCTGACTCATTTCCAAATTTTATTTTGAAAAGATATCAAAAAAAATATTGATGGGGCAAAGTAAACAGATACCAAGTCCCAAGACCAATGCCACACAGAGACACAAAGACAATTACTTGGAGAAAAGTTCTTCCATTCCATCCTACAGGTTTTCTGTGTTTAATTGTTCTTCTAAAGTGAATGTATCATCTGAGTGAGAGTGGCTATTTCTTAGCAAAGGTTGTGATAACTTGATTCTGGCCCCTCTGAGATTCTGGTTCCCCATGGGGATTACTATGCACAAATTAAACTTGGATAATGGCCCATGAATGTCCTGAAGTAAATCCTGAACCTTGGAGTGACCATTAGCTGGGGCATTGGTCAGCTGCTAGTACTTGGTGCTGTCCTGGAGTGACTCTTGGGACTTACATTCATGGTGTAACATCTCTGTCTTCCATAGATTAAACTGCATTCAAATCTCCTTTCTCTGCCCTCCTGCTCTGAATTTCTTAAAGAAAAAGTCATAGCATAAAATAGGCCAAGAGGCAGGCAGGTTAGGTGCTTATCTGGATCCTTCTGTCAACCAATTGTGTGGCCCTGGGTAAGTCACTGTACCTCTCTGTGTTTCAATTGAGAGGAGTGAACTAATAAATGCCTATAGTTCTTTCCATGCTAATGGATGCTGCTGACTTACCTCATCGCTGGTGACACACTGTTTTGACAGCTGATTCACGTGTAACCACAATGCGTTCCGAAAGAAGTTTATTCGTTCATATTCTTGAGCTTCCAACGCCTACAGAAACATAACCACAGGTGAATGCATATGCAGAGAAAGGGGCCATTTGTCTAGATTGGCTATGACTTAAGAAACAGTGTCACCCCTCAAGTATGCAAGCTTATTGTCCATTTAGGGTACTCCCCTCACCATCAAGGAAGCTCATAAACTCTTACAGCAAGCAAAGAATGCAGATGGATTCTAATATGCTATTAACACAAACACAATGGGGTGTAATTCTGAAGGTAAGCAGCTATGATGAATCCAGACACCCTGGTTCTAACCTGAATTCCAGCTCACATTTCCAACTGCCTGAGGGGCATCTCCTCCAAGGCAGCCTGCCAGAGCCTCAGATTCCAAATTTTGCCCTTCCCCACATCCCCTCCCCCAATGAATGAATTCAATTGGCAAGATTGGTCAATTGGTCATAATTGTTGATGCTAGTTGATGAGTACATGGGGGTCCTTGCACTTGTCTTCTAAAGTTCTGGTTTTTTAAGTTATTGCCTGAACAACAGTTTTTTTTTAAAATATAAACAACTTTTGGAAAATCAAGCTATTCTATAAAGTGGATGCTATTCTATTCAACAATTAATGTAATATATTAATGTATTTTTAAATATTATACATTTTACAATGTAAAATTTTAAACATAATCAAGAGTAGAGAGATAGTATAATGAATTCCCTTGTACCAACCACCCAGATTTGTCAAGAATTTTGACCAACTTTGCTTCAGATTCTGTTAAAGTTCCTGTATGCTTTTTCCCAATCTCTGTCACCCTCCTCCTTCCCCAGACATAACATTGTCCTAAATTTTATCATTCCCATGCATGTTTTTATAATATGCACTGTTTTACATGTTCTCAAACCTTATAAAAATGGCTTTACTCCAGTCTTTCCCATGAGAATGTGGAGTTAAGGAAGTAAAGCAAAAAAGAGTGTTTTAGCCCTGGCCAGTGTGCCCAATGGTTAGAGCATCAGCCCACCCACCAAAGGGTCTTGAGTTCGATTCCCCGTCAAGGGCACATACATGGGTTGCAGGTTTGATCTAGGCCCTGGTCAGGGCAAGTACAGGAGGCAACCAATCCATGTGTCCCTCTCACATTGATGTTTCTCTCTCTGTCTCTCTCTCTCTCTCTCTTTCCCCCCTTCCCCTCTCCCCTCCACTCTCTCTAAAAACCAATGGAAAAAATATCCTCGATGAAGATTAACAAACAAACAACAAAGAGTATTTTAGAAGATGGTAAAGACAGGTCAACTAAGATTAGAAACTGCAAAGTTCCCTGCATTTTCCTTATCACATACCAAGTGCATGTGAGGCTAAGTAATTTCTTAACCATTACTAGTAACTGATTCCTCTGTTTCATGCTGGTGCTAATGGAACATTAAAAGCAGACCACTGGACCTCACACCAAGGGGATCACTGGTTCCTCCGAGAGGGCAGGGGCAGGGAGCAAACCCCAGGGAGCACGCTGGGGCAGGCAGAGGCAATGAGGACGTGGAGACAGCTCCTTCAAGAAGCCAGGCTGTAAGGAGAGGAGAAGGTAGAGATGGGAAGCAATAGCTGCTAAGTTTTAAAGCCAGGAGGGAGCTGAGTTTGCGTAAACGATAATGAAAGAAATCCCCATAAAAGGGAAGTGTGCACAAGACAATGGGGACAGGCATCTGGATGGGATCCTGAGCCCAGATGGTGGGAGCAGCCACTTCTGTGCTGTATCAGGAGAAAAGGAGGGAAGGGGTATATGTAGATCAGCAGCTTTCAGGTTTGAATTGGCATCAGAATCATCAGCAGGGCTTCTGGGCCCACTTCCAGAGTTTCTGATTCAGGAGGTCTGGAGTTGGTCTAACAAGTTCCCCGGTGATGCTAATGCTACAGGTCTTGGCACCTCACTTTGAGAACCACTGGTAAGAAAATGTGTAGAGAGGGTAACTGAAAATGGAGGACGTTTCCGGGTCATGTCTTATTTTCTCTTGTAAACACAATGTGCTGAAAATGAAGGGGGGGGGGGCAATGTGAAATCAAAGGTGGAAGGAGGCTAAAACATTCTGAAGCCTGCTCACCTGCTGTCTGCATTTTCCTTATCACATACCAAGTGCATGTGAGGCTAAGTAATTTCTTAACCATTACTAGTAACTGATTCCTCTGTTTCATGCTGGTGCTAATGGAACATTAAAAGCAGACCACTGGACCTCACACCAAGGGGATCACTGGTTCCTCCGAGAGGGCAGGGGCAGGGAGCAAACCCCAGGGAGCACGCTGGGGCAGGCAGAGGCAATGAGGACGTGGAGACAGCTCCTTCAAGAAGCCGGGCTGTAAGGAGAGGAGAAGGTAGAGATGGGAAGCAATAGCTGCTAAGTTTTAAAGCCAGGAGGGAGCTGAGTTTGCGTAAACGATAATGAAAGAAATCCCCATAAAAGGGAAGTGTGCACAAGACAATGGGGACAGGCATCTGGATGGGATCCTGAGCCCAGATGGTGGGAGCAGCCACTTCTGTGCTGTATCAGGAGAAAAGGAGGGAAGGGGTATATGTAGATCAGCAGCTTTCAGGTTTGAATTGGCATCAGAATCATCAGCAGGGCTTCTGGGCCCACTTCCAGAGTTTCTGATTCAGGAGGTCTGGAGTTGGTCTAACAAGTTCCCCGGTGATGCTAATGCTACAGGTCTTGGCACCTCACTTTGAGAACCACTGGTAAGAAAATGTGTAGAGAGGGTAACTGAAAATGGAGGACGTTTCTGGGTCATGTCTTATTTTCTCTTGTAAACACAATGTATATATTTTTATTGCTTAAATTATTACAAAGAGTATTACATGTTTCTCCTTTTTTTCCCCCGCACTTGACAATCCCCTGGCCTCCCTTACCGCCCCCCCCCAGTGTCTTATGTCCATTGGTTATGCTTATATGCATGCATACAAGTCCTTTGGTTGATCTCTTACCCCCCCGCCTGCCCCCCCACCCTCCCCGGCCTTCCTGCTGTAGTTTGACAGTCTGTTCGAGGCAACTCTGCCAAGTTACTTTAGCTTTAGGTTTAGAGACTTCTTAAGTGACCGTGGTCATGAGAGGTTTATTTCCTGCAGGACACGCTGGGGATTAAAAGCTTGGAGCTTAGATTTCAATGATGACGAGGCTTCCAGACGTGGCTGTTTCTTTCATAGCAGGTACGAGTTAATCAGGGCTGAAATGGGCTTTTTAAATAGATGTTCCAGAAAAAAATCAGAGTGAGCCCCAGATCACAAAGCAGCTGCCTCATGCCCCTACCATCTCCATCCTATTACATGTACAGCAGCCAGACTGGGCAAGCCATGGCCAGAAACTGTTGGCTATTCACTTCCTCAGTTTCCCTACCCTTTTCTCCCTTCCTTTCCCCCTTCCTGTTTCTGAAAGCCCATTGCATATCCATATGTTCTTCATTGTTGGGTATACCAGACAGATTTAGGATAAGGTAAACCCCACCACAACCCTCCCCCATCCCCGGGGAGCCCCCTCACCGGAGTCTTCTGCAGCTGTCTTCGCGGTTGCTAGTTTCACAAAAAGCTGTGAGGACATAAAACAAACGAACAAGGGATCGGGAATGCTGGGCCAGGATTCTATAGGCATAACAGATCTAAAAGCAATGGCTGCAAAGAGACAAGTGCTAGTACAAGTCTTACCTAGGGTCCTCCCAAGAGCAAATCATTCAACTTGCCCTCTAATCTTTCGCCATTGCAAAATATCCATCAAGCATCTTGCCCTATGTCTTCCTAAAGCCATACTCCTGCCCTCTGGTTACTGACAATCTTCTATCCAGATTTTATAAAATTAAATTTATAATATACCCAAGCAGGAGGCAGCCTGGCTACAAAGAATACATGAGTTGAGCTTTGAAGAAAAATGAAAAAAAAAAATCAAAACTCCCTCCTCCACTTATCACCCCACTCCCTCCCCATGGCCTCCTTTCTCTAGCTCTTCCACAACCCCCAAAATGTGAAGGGGTTTTTTGGCTCCGAGGATCCTAATTAGCCTAAAGGAAGATATTGCCAGAAGCTTGGGGAGCAGGTCTCTTTTATTTAAGATCACTGATTGGCTTTAGCTTGAGATAGTAAATCTCAGATTTTTCAGGTGGTCAGCCCTCCCAGGTACCTTTTCCTGTTGCTTCGGGTTTACCAGGTTGGCACTTCGGTGGACAGCCTGCTCTGCGTCATCTTTGTCTCGGCATTTCTGCTCATAGTTCTTCTTTGCCTTAGTTGTTATGAGCCAAAAGAGGACCAAAATAGGTGAGCAGAACATAACCCTGAAAAGCAGCCATCCTAGCCTGCCAAGCCCAGCGAATACAGGGCACCCTGAACAGGGCTGTGATCACCATTAGAACGTGGCTGCTCAGAAGGCAGATGCTCTTTCTTGTCTATCGCTGCAACATCTCTCTAGCCTTTTTCCCAATGATGTATGTAATGGCAGCCTGATCAAGGAAATAAAAACTCTTATTTGGCAAACAATGTGCATTAGTGTTAAAAACTGACCAGAACAAAAGATGGCATTTCAGATGGAAAAAATAAAAAGACCTATCCTATATAATAAAGAGCTAATATGCTAATTAGACTGAACAGCCAAACGATCTTCCGGACGAAGCCAGGGCTGCGAGGGGCTACGAGGGCCAAGGTCCTTGCATCGGGCCTCTAGGGTAACTATAAAATATGTAACCCAGCCCAGCCAGTGCGGCTCAGTGGTTGAGCATTAAACTATCAACTGGGAGGTCACAGTTCGATTTCTGATCAGAGCACATGCCCGGATTGTGGGCTCAGTTCCCTGTAGGGGACATGCAGGAGGCAGTCGATCAATGATGTTTTTCTCTCATAGATGTTTCTATCTCCCTATCTCTCTCCTTTCCTCTCTCTTAAAAAAAAAAGATTGAAGGAAAAACATATAAATTTTTAAAAAACATAATCCAACATTCATAATCCTTAGAACTTAGGTTTATAAATCACTTGGTCATGGAAATTATAATTATGCTTCAATATTCTACTGTGCCTCACCAGTGCACGTGGACAGTAGCATCAATCCCATGATTTCTGTTGCATAAGAACAGTCATGATCCTTGGTGATTTAAAGAATTCTGAGCCCGGTTCGATTTTTGGTCAGGGCACATGCCTGGGTTGTGGGCTCGATCCTTAGTAAGGGACATGCAGGAGGCAGCCAATCAATGATTCTCTCTCATCAATGATGTTTCTCTCTCTCTCTCCCTCTCCCTTCCTCTCTGAAATCAATAAAAATATATTTTTTAAAAATAAATAAATATCAATAAAGACATATCCTCAGGTGAGGATTTTAAAAAATATTTTTTTAAAAAAGAAATCAAGATTCAGAATAGTCACGGAGGGGGGGGCCTCAAATCCAACAAGATAAATGGGATCATATGGTATATATAATTTTGTGTCTTGGCCTAAAATATTTAAATTAACTTGCTCTACTTTCCCATATTAGAAAGGTAATATTATGTTCCTACTATCTAGTTTCATCCTCAATATTCCCAAGGCTTTAAAAAGAAGAAAAGTGAAATCACTAAGAGTCATTGTATTAATAAATAACATTATTGAAATGTTATTTGAGCAGGAATATGCTCATACACAGCACAGAATTTCAGGAAAAGGCAATAAAGTGAAACTCACATCCATGGTTTTCTTGAATTGTAAGCTCCTTTGTTTATGGGCAGCATCCATTATAAGCTCTGTCTGTGAAGAGAACACAAGCACTATTAATACAAACAGAAATTATTGTTAATACCATCTTATCTTGAGGGATGTGTTTAAGATGGATTATCTCATTGAGTCCTCACACAACCCAGAAGGTAGATGTACTATTTATTATTTCACAGATGAGAAAACTTCAGCAAAGAGGTTGAACAATTTGCCCAAGGTCCGATGGCTGATTAATGGAGGGGGTCCATCTTTGAACTTGGGCTGCCACCATTGAGAAACATTGATCACCTTAAAATAGTCTCTTCAGCAAATCTGGGATCAAGAAACTTTGGTGTCAAAAGGACTTTTTACACTTTTGTTAAAGTGCCATTTATATTTTAAAAGGGGTCTTTTTTTCTGTAAGCTTATATTGGCACAGTTAAATTAGAGACTTATAAACACTCACTTCTGTGGCATTCATCAATGACACACCCTTACCCAGCAAGAAGCCTGGACAGGATGAAGAGGAGAAATATTTGTAGGACAGCTAAAAAAAAAAAAAAGCTGTTCTCCCACCTGTGGCATTCATCAATGACACACCCTTACCCAGCAAGGAGCCTGGACAGGATGAAGGGAAGAAATATTTGTAGGACAGCTGAAAAAAAGCTGTTCTCCCACTCTTTTTTAAAATATATATTTTTATTGGTTTCAGAGAGGAAAGAAGGAGAGGGAGATAGAAACATCAATGATGAGAGAGAATCATTGATCTGCCTCTTGCTGCATGCCCCCCACTGGGGATCGAGTCAGCAATCAGGGCATGTGCCCTGATCAGGAATCAAACTGTGGCCTCCTGGTTCATAGGTCAATGCTCAACCACTGAGCCACAACAACCAGGCTGTTGTCCTACTCTTCACTCCATCTAATCCAGAAAAGGTAAACTACTCTGTTGTGTTCACTTGGGAGCAATTTCTTTATTGTGGTTGTGACATTAATACATTTATTAGTCAAAATAATGCAGCTAATAATAAAAATGTACCTCAGACATAATAGTCGCTCCAATTTATCAAGCATTATGTGATAAGCAGTTTTCCTGCATCACAACAACCTAGTACTCTTATTCCCATTTTCTTGACAGTAAACTGAGGTGGATTAATTTACCAAAGGTTAACACTCAGCAAGTAGAATTGAGATTTGAGCCCAGAAACCTGACTCTTGTGCCCTTGTTCCTAATCATGACCCCAAACTACCATTATCCCTATGGTAGCTCTATAAAAGCAATTGGGAAGATAGAAGATCAAGAGATGCAATCATTCAAAATGAGCTATGACATTGCTTTTGTGCAAAATGATATAATGCAAAATAATATTGAAAATTAAACTTGAATGTGGTTTCTTTTCTGCAATATTAAGTTGCTCTCTGTTACCATAACACACAAATAGATTTTCAAGATATCTGGAGAGAATATCTCACTTCAAATATGAGCTTTGTAGAATGCATGAACTTCCCTTGGGGGAACCCCAAGAGGCCCTCAGAGAACTGAGGCATCATCTTCTCTGAAAGGGAGGGACCAGAAGTAGCTATGCACCTGCTAATGGTGAAGATACAACAGACAGAGAGAACAGACAGGGCTCCAACATGATCCCCACATGGAGGACTCGTGGGCAGATCCTTGCCATTGCATGGAGCTGTGTGGTTCACATTAGCCCCTATGTGCATTTGCCAAGAGGAGGAGCTGGGTTTATGTATTTGATAACAGTTCCCGATTTTCCCTGGCTCCATGGAGCAGATCCATTAGCAATGTTGGTCTATTCCACGATCCTTTCTAGTCCGAATATACACACTGCCATTCTTCCAGTTTGGAAGCTGCGACTATTTTATAGTTTATGGCCCAAGCCAGGCCTCCTTATGCCCAAGTTCTGCATAACACCTGCTTCAAGCACCTCTCAGATGGCTACAAAGTTCTGTGAGCCAAACCTTTTCACTTCATATCATTCCTCGCTCTGCCTTCAAGGTTTCCTGGCATTTGTACATCAGTAGGATCCTCGAGAGCAGCAATCTACTCTCTCACCTGACAGGTGTAACCCAGAGTCCCAGAGGTCACACCATTGGTGACCTTTGTTCAAGGCTACTCGGTGACACCAAGTCCTGCTCTGTCTGCTGCACCACCTTGATTTAAGTGTCCTCATGTCCATGGTTCACTTAGAGGGTGACCCCACTCATGGTGGCCCCTGTAAGTCAAGGGTTCTCTTTCAGGTCTCCTTGGGGAGGCGCTTCTTTGAGGACTCGGACTTTCTGCTCAGGCCAAATGTAATAACACAAAGTTGTGCAAAAGCACAATCGTCCCTGTTATAGGATGGGGAGAAGTAAGAGGGAGGGCAAAAAGAAGAGAGATTTATAAATGGCCCAAATGACCCTGCCCTAATTATGGAAATAACTACTTAGTGATCTGTTTGTCTGTCTACCCCACTCAGACTGTATTCTGAAAACTGGAAGCATCACTCGCTGGAACCAAGGAGGTTCTTTTCTTTGGAGACTGCTCTCCAAATAGGCAGAACAAAACTCTGCCATGGTCACTCTGATCTCAGCTGATATGGTAAAATAATGTGGGTACCAGAGGAGAGAGTAATTGACCATGTGCTGTCTGTCAGGCTTAGGACATTCTGGGCTGGGGAAGGAACCTCGGAACCCTAAAACATCAAGACTCCTGAGAATAGCTCCTAAGACCCCACCCTACCTGCCAACCACCAAGAGTGAGAGCCTCATCTCTTACCACCCTCACCTATATTGCCTTTCACTCTGCTGGTTTTAGATTCAAGGTCACTTCCACCAGGAAGCCTCCCCAGCCCAATAGATTAGGTGAGGTGTTCCCTCTGTATGTTCAGGTGGCCTGGATCTCCCCTACTATTTAAGGTTCATCACACTTTACCATGATTTCTATGTTACCTCAGTCTCTCTGGCCATACTCTATACTCAGTGAGGGAACGGTGACCACATCCATATTGTTCACCACCCTCGGGTAGTTGTGTAAGTACACCATAAACTTCCGGCCAGTCATTCTACATGCACCTCCCTGCCCCAGTTTAACAAAAGAAACCAACTGATGGCTTTCCTAGATAAGTGGAAATGGCTTAATTTCCAAGAAGTGAAAAACCAAAGTGTGCAGGGTTTGAGCAGTCGAAATGAGAAGTTGGCAATGACATATTTTCCCCCAAAGTTTGAAATTTTTTTAAAAGTATTTATATACGGAAGTTGGTACAACCCAGAGTTCATTGTGATACAAGTCTATACAAATGTATTAATCAACTTTGGACTTCTCCCAGAAAGCTGGGAAGGAGGCATGTCCTGCTATAGAGGGCACATGAGGGTGTATAGGGAACTTGGATAACAACGGTAGGCTGAATGCCAGCTGCTCTGTTGCCTAACAGACTTCAGAACATGGGCTTCTAGCTCTGAGAATTCTCTCAGCAACTTGTTAGGAGGGGAAGTTTCAGAAGCCTTGCAAAATTAACAAAACTTTCTCCGAAATGACTAGGGCTACTCAGGGCACTTGAAAGATGGGGAGGAATGACCCTCCTCTCCTCTTAGTGGAAATCATGTGTGCATGGACCTTGGTTGTCTAAGGCATTTTGCTTCTTGAAGTTTGCAATTCCTCTAGAGAGGTGGGGAGGGCTGGCAATATCAGCCCAAAAAGTTTGCCCATCCAATAGTGGGTGTAATAAGGTCTACATATTATTTCTGCTCTGAAAAATACTTTGGGCCAGATAGACCCCTGAAACCTGGTACCTGAAGCTTGCATTTGTGTGGAAGTGCTTAATATGGTATTCCTTAAATGTTACAGCCTTCCTTCCTAGTAAGAGGCACAGCTGTCAGAGCTTCTCACAAAATGATAATAGAGGCAAAGCAATGTTTTAGGAATTAAACAGAAGGGAGGGTCAGGCTCAATTCCGGTGGGGGGTGTACAGGAAACAGACGATCACTGTTCCACTCTCACTTAGATGTTTCTCTCTCTCTCCCCCTCTCCCTTCCTCGCTGTCTAAAAATAAGTTTTAAAAACCTTTCACAGCTGTCAGAGCTTCTCACAAAATGATAATAGAGGCAAAGCAATGTTTTAGGAATTAAACAGAAGGGAGGGTCAGGCTCAATTCCGGTGGGGGGTGTACAGGAAACAGACGATCACTGTTCCACTCTCACTTAGATGTTTCTCTCTCTCTCTCCCTCTCCCTTCCTTGCTGTCTAAAAATAAGTTTTAAAAACCTTTAAAAAAAATAGAAAGGAGTCAGAATAGTGGCTGGTCTAGTCTAAGTAACACTTGATCTTTATAACTTCCCAAATGTCTGCCAGTTTTATTAACTTGCTCACTCCCGTCTCCTTACGTGTAGTTGGCCAGAGTAAATCCTAATGAAAAAGAGTTTATGCACCTCTGCTTTGAAGACAAGAAGAACTCGGATTTCCCGGGGCCTCAGTTACCCTACCTGTAAAACAGCTGGACTACATTCTGGTCTCCAAGGAATGAGTCTCCTCTCCCTCTTACCCTCCCTTTACTGCCTTGTCCAGGAGGAGGAGTGTGGTCTAAAAGCCCTCCAACTTGGCTATGCTAGACTCTACTGAAGAAAGAGGGGGGTTCCCCTTTCCAGTCAGAGTTCAAATAGTGGCAGCAGATATGAAAAGAAGAGGAAACCAGGCTGTACCCCTAAATCTAGCAAAAATTATAAAAACGAAGTGGCCTGGGGGGTCGGGGGGGGGTGGTAAGTGGGCACAGAACCATGAGTCTCCACATAGTTTGCCAATAAATAATCGCATAGGTTAAAAGAAGAGCATGGTTACACGAGCGTGGGAGCCAAGCCAAGGAGTTGAATGAACAAGCAAGCCTGGAGTATTCTGCCATAAGAACGGCAACATTTTAACACATATGCAAGCCCGACCTTTTTCCGTTGTAGCTTTTGCTTTTCCCTGAATTCTTCTAGCTTCCTGGCCTCTTCTCTTAGAGTCTGTGCAAGCTGAATGTGACATTGTGCCACATTGTCTACTTCTGCAAAAGAATTTTAAAAAACAATAAGCAGATAGACATATGTCTGAATTAAAATATGCAAAACTGTACACAATTTAAAATTATATACAAAATACTGAAGCAAGTGGCTAAATTAACCGACTGCACTTGGTCACCAACATTTATTGAGACTATCCATGTGCCCAGCATTGCCCTGACCACCAAGATCTGGGCTGGCAAGTCTTTAGCTTAACTTTTACCAGTAGCTGTTACTAACCTACTGTATGTCTAGGACCAGGGAGAAGTTCATGGCGCTTACGTGCTAAGAGACATTCCTAAACCCACTACAGTTTCAAATCCCATCCTTGGTTTTTAATAGGTGAGCTCTAAGGATCTCTAACATCTCATGTGCCTGAGCATTTTTAAGAAAGTCATACACCAACATTTTGGCTACCAAGAGTTATCTCTGGAGAGAAAGGTTATTGTTGATTTTTCCCCCTTAGTTTCTACGTAAAACCTTTGCAATGAGCATGGCTTACCTTTATAATAGAAAAATTAAAATGTTAATCTTACTTGTTCTATGAAAACAAATTGAAGTATGGCACGTAAGCTTGAAAGACTAAGAGATCTGATCTAAAAATATTTTTTAATTCGTGTGTGTCAAGATAACTTGAACAAGGTTAGAAGATACATGACAATAAAAAGATATTTGCAATTCGTATAACAATTAGTAAATAACTATATTAAAAGTATTCACAAATCAAAAGAAATATATATATGTTCCAGTATAAAAAGTTGGTTAAAGAACTTGAAATATAAAAAAGATCAGCTCAATGACCTATAAACATTTGAAAATATATTCAGAATTAACACAAAAATGCAAAAATTTAAAACACTGAAATAGCCCTGGTCAGTGTGGCTCAGTTGATTGGAGCATCATCCTGTGCACTGAAGGGTCACAGGTTTGATCCCTGGTTAGGGCACGTGCGAGAGGTAATCGATCGATGTTTCTCTCTCTCTCTCTCTCTCTCTCTCTCTCTCTCTCTCTCTCCCTCCCTCTTCCTTTCTCTCTCCTCTGTCTCTCTCTCTCAAATCAATAAAAACATATCCTCAGGTGAGGATTAAAAATAATAATAAATTAAATTAAATAGAAACATAATTTTTTACCTTTCAGTTTGGCAAAATTTTTAAGCATGAAAATTTGTGGTATTGGAGAACCTGGGGGAAAACAGCACTGCTGGAGGGGGAAAAAATCAATACAACCTTTCTGGAAGAAATTTGGCATTTTGTAGGATCAAAAAAATTTTAATGTAAAAGAATGAGGCAGATCCACATGAACTGAAATGGAAAGATGTCTATGATATACTATCAACTGAAAAACCAAATTATAGAGAGTATGCATAGTATAACCTCAGGTATGTCTGCAACTTGGGTGTCTGCAATTAGAGAGAGGGAGAGAGAGACTGAGAGCTTTAAATGCATAGACAAAGGTCTGGAAAAATATATACCAAACTGCTAGCATGATTAAAAATTGCTATTTTTCATTTAAAAAGCAATTTAAAAACATATGTGCCACCCCATAGATTTTGATGCATTGCCATGATGTGATCCTATTTATTTATATGAATAGATACAAACATAACTGTGTGTATTGTATAAAAATGTTGGAGGCATATTCACCTGTAACTGCTTAGCACTAAGAACTGAATACTTGGGTGTTTGCTATCTTCACAGTTAGTTGTCTCATTTGAATTTTTAATATAAATATATTTTTTAATAATAAAATGAAGCTACTTGTTGGGAAAAAAGAAAACAAGTAAAGTAACAGCAAATAAATATGCTTAGGAGACCCAGCCTATGCTGAAGTCCCCCTGAGCTAACCATGGTTGGCCTTGTGGGCATGCAAGAAACATGAAGACACTGTCCACATCTTGAGAAATGAATTCATCGATGAGTTAAAGAGGGAAGAGGACACCTATGGAAAAGTTAAGATGAATATTCATTCAGTTAACCTTACAAAGCTCTAGAATCACTCAACTGGCTAGAGAAGCACTTTAGGCACATGTACATACCATGCCTTGGTAAACTCCTTAGTTTGGAAGCACCAAGTATTCTGAAGAACAGAAAGCCTTGAAATTATGTTTCTATGTTTTATTTAATTTATTATTATTATTTTAATCCTCGCCTGAGGATATGCTTTTATTGATTTGAGAGAGAGAGAGAAAGGAAGAGGGAAAGAGAGAGAAACATCGATTGATTACCTCCCGCACGTGCCCTAACCAGGGATTGAACCTGTGACCCTTCGGTGCACAGGATGATGCTCCAACCAACTGAGCTACACTGGCCAGGGCTATTTCAATGTTTTAAAATTTTGCATTTTTGTGTTAAGGCTGAATAGATTTTCAAATGTTTATAGAACAGGAGCTTCTGAGTAACAGGCCTGGGGAATATGAGAACTGGACAGGACCCCAAATACCAGGGCCTCAGGCTAGACTTCAAGTGTGAGAACCACTTCTGTAAGGAAGTCAAATGCACAGCCCGACATGCAGGTGTGAAAGGTTCTCCAGCTCACGTCAACTCTGCAGAACTATTTCTCACCTTAGGAGTTGCTTTCATTTTTCCCACCCAATGTGAGATTTCTGTTCAAATGAAAACCCACCTTTGATGACAGACAGAGCTTGCCAAGAGCAGTAAATACGTTTTTAAAGAATCACTTACGCTGCTTGAAGACTTCAAGGGCCCGCTTCAGGGTGCTAAAAAAAACAAGTACATATATAATTTCAAGTCCTGGAAATTGGCTATACAATCTCCTTCTAATGCCACTGCATGCGCCTCTCGGCCCACAATTTATAGACTCATCTTAGCCCCCAAGCTTAAGAGGACAGCAGAAAATCAAGACTTCAGGGGGCGGGGTCTAACTTTGGGGGTAGCAGCCTGGCCATGTCACCTCCTCGTCTCCCTGCTGTTGCTCATTAATGTGCAACAAGGAAATAGTTTACCAACCTTTTTTTTTCTTTGTTACTCCTCACCTGAGAATATTTTTTTCCCATTGATTTTTAGACAGTGGGAGGGAGGGGGGGGGAGAGAGAGAGAGAGAGAAACACTGATGTGAGAGAGACATATCAATTGGTTGCATTCCGGACCTGGGCCAGAGATTGAACCTGCAATCCAGGTACATGCCCTTGACCGGGAATCTAACCCAAGACCCTTTGATGTATGGGCAGATGCTCTAACCACTGAGCAACAAAGGCCAGGGCTCTCCCACCCTTTTGACAAGCACTTTGACCTTAAACCCTAACTAGGTCTATCAGAGGCCAGAGTCCCTCAGTGTAGCCAATGAGGTGACAAATCCTACCTAGCTCATGAATGAGCAGTCACTCACTCTCATAGGGCGCCTTCCTAAAGATAATCCTGGAGGTGATAGAAACACAAGTCACCTAGATGGTCTTTCACTTCAACCTGGCAGCGAGGTCCCCACGTCTCATATCCTGCTGGGTGTTCCTCTCTGAGGCGTATACTCATAAAGGGAACCGACTGGCTTTTCTCACGGAACAGAACAGAACGGGGCCAGAGTCTCTCTATGAATTTACTCAGGTACCAGTCAACTGTGTAACAATATAAGAAACACCGTTTGGGATCAGACTCATTCCGCTAAATATATTTTCCAAGAAGAACTATGTGAGAGAATGTGGCTATTACCCATCACACCACCTCAAAAGGTTTTGGATATTTTCCCAAACAGCTTATATATTTTATAAATAAATGTTGTTGTTGGTTGTTTTTTGGGAGGTGGGGGTGTCAGCTGACCCACTAATCTCCCTTTAAAGTATCTAAACCTGCTGGAATAGCAGTGCAACCTGCCTAAGTCTACACAGCTTTGACCTGTGAACATGTAAATATTTTACATATTCAAAAAATAAAACTAAATGAAACAGGGAAAATAAAAGAATCCCTAAATTTTAAAACAAACTGAAATGAACTTAATATAAAATTGGTTACATAATCATACAGAGAAAATAAAATTTTAAGTGACCTTAGAACACAGGATTCTTAGTGAAATATAGCCTGAGATCAAAAGGAACTGCAAGAAAATGGTGAACTTTATTCACAAGTTTTCTTGTTAGTAACAATGGTGATATTATTTTGAAATTTTTTGATATATATTATTATATAAAGCAAATAATCATGCTAATATTGTCAGGAACTAAGATTTCCCATTTAAGAGGAAATGAATGTAAAATTAAGGAAGCTAAGTAAAACCCTTAAAGTGAAATCAAAATTGGAAATATTAATATGAACTCATGCTTTTAAAATCTGTCCCCTAAAAGGACCTAGAAGCAGGGACATCTCTGTGACAATGACCAAAGCTAGAACTTAAGAGTCTCATCTCTAAACACGACTGGTTGATAATTAAAAGGAACTAAGTATATTTTGAGAAATAGCTGTTCTGGGCTTAAATTTAAAGTCACAAAATCATATTAACAAAATACGGCAAATGTGGATAGTTATGAAATCTAGGTGATGGGTTTCTTATGTTTGTCTTTTTCGTTTTAATGTGTTTTTATTTTTTTTATTTTAATTGATTTTTTTAGAGATCGAGGAAGGGAAAAATAGAGAGAGGGAGAGAGAGAGAGGGAGAGAGAGGGAAGAGAGAGAGGAGAGAGAGAGAGAGAGAGAGAGAGAGAGAGAGAGAAACATTAATGTGAGAGAGAAACATCAATCAGTTGCCTCCCACACATACCCCAACCAGGATCAAACCTGTAACCTGGGTATGTGCCCTGACTGGGAATCAAACTGATAACCTTTCGGTGCACGGGACTAGCTCAACCAACTAAGCAACACCAGTCAGAGCTCAGTGTGTTTTTAAATTTTTCATTTACAACATCAAAAATAAAAAATAATCATTAAGTTAAAAAATTTTCTTTGTACTAATGTCCTATGTCTGTGGGTAACAAATTTTTAGGCTTAGACAACTATAAATATTTTACCTATCTCCCAATATTTTTGTCATTTTCACTAATCTAGTACTTTGCAGTCTGGGAGTGCATGTGTGCATGTGTGTGCGCATGTATTTTAGAACAGAAGAGGAAGGACAATATCATGACTGTCCCCATTCAGACCTCTGATAGGACACAGACCTCTTCGCAGCTGTATATAGCACAGCAAAGCAGCATGCAGGTCAGTATGTAATGTGATTGGGTCTGCAGAGGCCTGCAAAGTCTGAACTAGTTCTCCCGACCCCCCTCCCACACCCCCCAAAAACATTCTTGTTTGGGAGGGAAAAATAAATCTAGAAGTTTCCATATGCAAAGAACTGGCCACAAAATGTGTGAGGTCCGCTGCAAAATGAAAATCTGGGACCCCTTGTTTATACACTATTAAGAATTTCAAAATGGTGACAGCAAAGAGCATTAAGCTGATTATGAAGCCTTTCTAAGTATTGGTTCCTGTATGACTGACTGCCCATGAAGCCAGGAATGATGGAAGAATAAATAACTGTAGTAAAGAAATCTCACATTGGTGGTGAGAACTATAAATGGTGCAAAAACAGTCTCTTGTAGCTATCACAAACTATGTATGTGTATATAGGTGTGCGTGCATGGGTGAGTGTGTGTGTGTGTGTGTGTGTGTGTGTGCGTGTGTAAGCCTCTCTATTAAATTTCTAGTATAAAATTATATATAATGTAACCCCACCTATGAAAAAGTATACATTGAAAAGGACTTCAAGGGAAACTTAGAGAATATTAATAATGAGTTGTAGCTTCATAGTTCATTTTAACCTTCTTTCTATTTCTCCAAAATTTTCACAACTGAAATTAAATAAATTAAAAATTGTCATTATCCGAGACACTATGCCAGCTCTTTCTTCTGAAGTGACGGGGCTCCTGGCAGTATGAGCCAACCTGGAAACCAGAAAGAAGTGTGGCACCTACTTGATCTCAGACTGTCCACAGGGCTTCTTCCTAGAGAGGTTGAGCAGATCTTTGCCATATCTCTCTTCAATTGATGCCCTAAATGGAACAGAAGAGAGGGTTATAAGTCCTCCTCAGGGCTGACTCTTAGTTAGGCCCCTTGAAGGCAAAACTGCACCTTTGAGAGTAGCTCAGATATAATATCACTCTCTAAAATACAAAATTCCCTCTACGTAACAGGGAAGAATTATAAAAGACCAGTGGCCTTTATCTCTAAGGTGGTCTTCTCCGGCTAGAAGTCCCTGACATAAACATTACAACAAAACCAAGCATGGCCTCCAACCAGCACAGATTAAAATGTCAAAACTATGATCCAAGAATATGTATATATTTGGGGGGTTTTAGTGGCATAAGAGCTATTGCCATCATTTTTACTGTACAGTGGGGCCTTGACTTACGAGTGTCCCGACTAACAAGTTTTTTTGAGATACGAGCTGTCTCTCGGCCGATTTTTTGCTTTGAGTTGCAAGCTCAAAAAAATTTGGGTTACGAGCCAGCTTCAGATACCCCACCACCAGTTGGCGCAGCAAACGTCACAGTGATTTGACATACGAGTAATTTGAGTTATGAGCTCCATCACGGGACGAATTAAACTCGTAAGTCAAGGCCCCACTGTATATGCCAATCACAGCACCTTGACCAAAGTATAAATTCCTTGAGAAGAACCATGTTGTTAGATCCAGAGGGGATTTTACAGAACATCAACCACAACCCTTTCATTTTACAGAGGAGGAAACTGACAGAGAGAAAGGTCTAGGGCCCCAGCAGTTCTCAACCTGTAGGTCACGACCATCGGAAAACACATATAGCATATCAGATATTTACATTACGATTCATAACAGTAGCAAAATTACAGTTATGAAGTAGCAACGAAAATAATTTTATGGTTGGGGGTCACCACAACATGAGGAACTGTATTAAAGGGTCGCGGCATTAGGAAGGTTGAGAACCACTGGTAGGCCCTTGATTAATACCACTGCTGCCCCCTGGGAAGCCGGGATTAAAAGACCTGGGAATCTGGGCTTTCATCCCAGTACTCTACTTCCCTATAGGTCTCAGCTTCCAGCATATTCTATTGGGTACATGTTATGAATTGGATTGTATCCTTCTCCCTCCCAAAAATGTTGAAGTTGTATACCCCCCAGTATCTCAGAATAGAACTTTATTTGAAGAGTGGGTCATTGCAGATACAATCAGTTGGGTTAACAGTGGAGTAGGATGGACCCTTAATCCAATGAGACTAGTGTCCATATATAAAGATGATATGAAGACACAGGAGAAGAATGCCCTCTGAGGATGGAAGAAGAGACTGGAGTTAGCAGCAGAAAATCAAGGAACACCCAGGATTGCCAGCAACACTAGAAACTAAGAAAAAAACATGGAACAGATTCTCTCCTTGAGCCTTCATGAGAGCATGATCCTGCAGACATCTTCTTTTAAAATATATTTTTATTGATTTCAGAGAGGAAAGGAGAGGGAGAGAGAGATAGAAATATCAATGATGAGAGAGAATCATTGATCGGCTGCCTCCTGCATGCCCTGCACTGGGGATCAAGCCTTAATCAGGAATCAAACCATGACCTCCTGGTTCATAGGTCAACGCTCAACCACTGAGCCACACCAGCAGGCCTGCAGACATCTTGATTTTGAACTTCTGACCTCAAAAACTATGAGAGAGTAAATTCCCAGTTTGTGGCAATTTGTTATGGCAGCTCTCAAAACTCATACAATATTATGGCTTGACTATAACTTGACCACAGGGTACTATTGTCTAAGGCAGCCGTGGGCAAACTACAGCCTGCGGGCCGGATCCGGCCTGTTTGAAATGAATAAAACTAAAAAAAAAAAAAAAAAAACCGAACACCCTTTTATGTAATGGTGTTTACTTTGAATTTATATTAGTTCACACAAACACTCCATCCATGCTTTTGTTCCGGCCCTCCGGTCCAGTTTAAGAACCCATTGTGGCCCTCGAGTCAAAAAGTTTGCCCACCCCTGGAGGGAATCTGTTATTGCCACCCTGGCAGCTTGTTATTCTTAAGCCCATCCTGAAAGACAGTGAGGATCCCAGAATAAGAGCTGTATCCAGGGCAGGTCGACCTCTCCCTAGAAAAGAACCATGGGCCCGGCTGGTGTGGCTCAATTGGTTGAGCATCCTGTGCACCAAAAGGTCACCATTTCGGTTTCTGGTCAGGGCACATGTCCAGGTTGCAGGCTCAATCCCCAGTAGGGAGCGTCCAGGAGGCAGCCGAACCATGGTGTTTCTTTCTCATTGATGTTGCTCTCTCTCTCTCCCTCTCCACAATAAAAAATATTTTTTTTAAAAAAAGAAAAGAACCAGGAGATGTACAGGAGCTCATGGGAAGAGCAGAGTCCCAGGGCACTAAGGCTGGGGATCCCCCAGTCCATAGGTGTAGCTGCTAACCTACAAGTGGTGCAGGATTCCATGCATAAAGGGGTTTCACAAACACGCTTCCCTCCTCCCTACTCAGTATTATGTTGCAATACACAATTAAGAGCCCTGACCTGGCCACCAAGTTCCTGGAGAAACCCCTTTCAGAAAAATATACCCAGCCATCATAGGAGACCATTAGTAGAGTGGAAAAACCATTAAACATGGAGTTAATAGAAGTCCTGGCTCCACTACTTAGTGCTTTTATAATCTTGGACAAGTCATTTAAACCCCCATTAAGCCTCAGAGTTCTCATCTGTAAAATGGAGCTGAAGATGTATACCCTACCTACCTTCTAGGATTAACATAATGATATTAGTAGTGGGTACCATTTACCCACCACTTGTTGTGTATCAGGTACTATACTAGGCACACTGAAGTGGTTAACAACACAGATTCCAGAGGCCAACTTTCCTAGGTTTAATCCAGATCTATCCCTTATTACGTATCTAACCTTAGGCAAGCTACATAACCTCTCTGAACCTCAGTTTTTTCAATTGTAAAATAAGGATGATAAAACTTGCCATACAGGGTTATTATGATTGAATAACCTAATATATGCAAAATACATGGAAGCTGGCTTATATTGAGAACATCTTCAATAAATGACAACTATTAATATAATCTCATTTAGTCACACCTACTCTCTGCAGTATGATTATCCTCGATTTTCTATTTCTTATTTCCTACTCATATCAGGAGTTCTGTTTGTAATATATGGCCCCATGAGGGGCTCAAGGGAGCAGAGAGTCTATGGATTTGGGCTACCAGTGATAAGATAGGTTCATTTTCATTGGTAACCAGTGGAAGACCTCAGACTGGAGTGCTATGTAGAATGCTTCCTTTAAAGAAAAAAAAAAGAAGAAGAAGAGGAGGAAAATTTGACCTGGATTTTGAAGGATGGGGAGAATTTACTCAAGCATAGAGGACAAAGGAGGATGTTCAAGGTGGGAAATAATGGAGTAAAGATGTAGAGGCAGAGATATCCAAAGCATGCTCATTAACAAGACTGCTGGAATAGAGAGTGGTGTCATGGGTGAGAATGTATGAAACAAAAAGAAAAGACGCCCTGGCCTGTTTTGCTCAGTGGATAGAGCATCGGCCTGCAGACTGAAGGGTCCCAGGTTCGATTCCGGTCAAGGATGATGTGCAGGAGGCAGTTGATCGATGTTTCTAACCCTCTCTCCCTCGCCCTTCCTCTCTGTAAAAAAAAAAAAAAAATCAATAAAATATATATTTTTTAAAAGGCAAATAGAGAAGGTCTCTGTGCGAGGAACAAGCCATCTTCCCAGAAAGCCCAGAGTTGATGAGTCATAAACATAGGGTCTGTATGTAAGATGTCTCTGGGTTTCTGTCACTTTCTAAGTTCCCAAGGTAAATGACTTACTAACTTAATTTCAAAAGTTACACTTTTGCCCTAACCGGTTTGGCTCGGTGGATAGAGCGTCGGCCTTAGGACTGAAGGGTCCCAGGTTCGATTCCGGTCAAGGATGATGTGCAGGAGGCAGTTGATCGATGTTTCTAACTCTCTATTCCTCTCCTTTCCTCTCTGTAAAAAAATCAATAAAATATATATTTTTTTAAAAAGTTACACTTTTGCCCGACCAGTGTGGCTCAGTGGTTGAGCATCAACCTATGACCCAGGAGTTCACAGTTCGATTCCCGGTCAGGACATGTTTAGCCACATGTCACAAAAATTTTATAAACATATGTGTATCACACTTGATGACTCAAATCAGTAAAATTATACATACTTTTTTAAAGTTACACTTTCATGCAAAGACAGTGGAAACAATAATACCTCCTGCAGTTGATATGTGTCAAAGGAGACTATTTCTTTTTTAAAATAATATATTTTTATTGATTTCAGAGAGGAAGGAAGAGAGAGAGAAAAAAAATCAATGATGAGAGAGAATCATTGATTGGCTGCCTCCTGCACCCCCCACAGCGGGGATTGAGCCCACAACCCGGGCATGTGCCCCGACTGGGAATCGAACTGTGACCTCCTGGTTCATAGGTCAATGCTCAACCACTGAGCTACGCCAGCCGGGCAAAGGAGAATATTTCAAAGACATGTATAAACCTCAGTGTTACAGTAATAGAGATTCTGAGACAAATCTCCCAGCACAGCACATAGCAAACACTCCACATGTGGTTGTTAGTATGGAACTGCTCAGACTGCCGTGTGGTGCTCATCATAAATGTCATCATTATGCCTTTCCAGCTGGTTGGAAGGGTAAACTGGGCAAATTTGCAATTTACTGATGGATTGTTTGTTACTGCATTTTGTTACTTACTTGCTGTGTTACAATAAGGCATCCAGGACTTACTGGGGACAGATCAGCTACAGAGCACATACTGAGACATGACCCAGGGATCAGCCATACGGATGCAGGAAAGGCAGCATGCTTGCCCACTCCAGAGCAGCATCTGACACTACGCTTTGCATTTAGGTGATTGTTCTGTCTGTCCCCAAATGACTGTAACTGTGTTGACTGAAATCTGTCTGGGTATAACCAAGGTTGAGCTGCCAGAAATGCCAGAGCGGTCCACAGCAAGACGTTGACACTTTGGCAAGAGGGGTGGGGTGTCACAAAACTTGGATATAGGACATATTTAGCCACATATCAAAAAAATTTTATACATGTATGTGTATCACACTTGATGAACTCAAAATAATAAACAGTAGCCTGGCCGATGTTGATCAGTTGTTAGGCATTGACCTATGAACCAGGAGGTCATGGTTCGATTCCTGGTCAGGGCACATGCCCAGGGTTGCCAGCTTGATCCCCAGTGGGGGGGCGTGCAGGAGGTAGCCAATGATTCTCTCTCATCACTGATGTTCCCCTCTCTCTCTCTCTCTCTCTCTCTCTC